CCTTGTCCATTACCAATTGATTGGGATTCGGATGCTTTTCGAAGGCAAATATCTAGATCTGGAACGTCATTAAGCGTAATAAACTTTTCTGTGCATAAATTAAATTGCGCCAATTGTGGTACACTGTCACACGAATAAGTCTAGTCTATGCCAAATGGTGTGGTTCAATACTATCTTATCTTATTATTTTTATTAATAAAAACAACAACGGTAACAAATTTTGTATGTTATCTAATCCAGTCCCGGTCATCTACCTAATGATATAAATTTCATACATTAACGAAAACCCAATCGATATTTTATATATTACCTAGTAAAACCGTGTAATTTATATATTAACGAACATATTTAGGAATTTTATAGAATAACTAGTTATTTAATAAAATAACGTATTACATACATTACCGCTAACATATATATATATATATATATATATATATATGTGTTATATACCTAACCTAACTATATATATATAGTTTTTTCATGACATTTTACTAACAAACATAATAATTTACAACTAATAATTGACCTTATTAAATATTAAAAAACAAACTATTTTAAATCAAGTTAAATAAATCACAAATGAATAAAATCAATCAATTATATTATTACATTAGAGGCACTACTGCACTAGACAATATTTTATGAAATTAATTTTAAGTCTATAATTACGATTATGATAATAATACGATCAAGGTTAAAAGCGAACTGAATGTGAAGTAATACTCAGTCGGCGAGAAACATATTTTATAACTTAGTGTAAAATGTACGTGTTAGTTTACTAGGTGATATTATATGATGTATATGGGCATTGGGTATTTTATATTTTATTTATTGCACTTGCCGTAGTGCTATTTAAGTTTTTGTAAAATTGCTTTAGTATAATATAATAAACACTAGTTAGTAGTTACAGATATTAGTTTTKATTTTGATTTTTTATGTATTAAGTACTTAAAATCTATTCATCAAACCAATTAGTGAATTTCGTACATGGTAAATAACAAAAGTTTCACAATAATAATTCGTGGAGCAAGCTGTCCACTAATTGCACCTCAGTCAAAACAGATGTTAATTATAATAGAATTTATATGTGTTTAAATTTCCATGATTATATTAATTGTCTGTGTGTCTACCTAATTAACAGTGTTTTGTATACATATTATAATTATGCGTACCTACCCTTAGTAGGCCTTCAGTAAAGCCCTTGCTTAACATTAACACACAAACTCCTCGATTATATCATGATCATAACACGATATATGTTAAATGAAAATGTAATGATAAAATATAATTAATTGGAGTAAAATGTTTTAGTTTTAAAAATGATTGTACAATTATTATAATTTTTAACGATTGACCTGAACATTTTATTTTAAAACCATTCTTCCCTTATTTTTAAGTCATTATTTTAAATATTTTTTTCTAAACAAACACGTAAAGAAATACCAAAAGAAAAAACAGTTACAAGAAATATATATTCAAGCAAATTCATACGATATATAATATTTTTGATTATTTTTTGCAATATCAGAGTTTTTGGTTGCGCACTATACCCGTGTGAATATTCTTTATTTGTATTATTTATAATCAAGATTATAATACAATAATCATCAAATCAATATTAAAAGATACTTTCAGCATTATTAAAATTTAAAATGCATGCTATTTTAAAAGTAATTACTAATATTACAAATTCGTTAGTCAACAATAGTTGTTAAAAATAAATATGATTATTATTATCTTTACGAATCTGCGATTATAGTAATAATATGAATCGAATTATTGTAGTATTATGGGTACATTTTAATGGGCAGTTTCTGATACTTAATAATATTATAAATGAACTTAATGCTACTGATCAATATTAATAATAAGTATGTACCTTTTAGTAGAAAATTAGGCTAAAGTAATTCTAATAGTGTTTAATGGGCCTAAGGCTTAAAATTTATATCATATAACCTAGTATGACACGTATATATTGGATTACCTAAATTTATTTAATCTTAGGAATTATCTATGATTATGCTTGTATAATAATTATATACCTACATAATTAATAATTTAACCAAATCTTAAAGCTATGTAGGAATAAGTACAAACACAAAAATTAATTTTGAAAGGAAAATATTATATATTTTAACATTTTTCTACTTTTTCTATGCTTAAAACTATGAACCTACCGTGTATATCTGCTAAATTCCTAAGTACATAGTAATAAGTTGTGGGTATATCGCCTTATAACTATATAGATTTACCTATATATTTTCTTACAAAGCTATCGTTTGTTAAATYACATTTATGTTGCTTGAGAGTTGAGTTATAGCTAACATATAAATACTAATTGATTATTTTGAGTACTACCTATTTAATATTATCATATTTTAATATATTATAAGATGTAGGTACATAAAATATTTACCGATAATTGCCAGATATCCACTCATAATTATTCTGTATATCGACTTCCGGTTTAACGAAAAAATTCTCTGAAAAAAAAACAATAATAATAACAATATGTCAATATTCGAGTGAATAATCAAGATCGCCCTGCGCCACATATAATATATTTTACGTAATTTTCTTAAATGTCTTATATTACGTGCATGTATCATGATAGGTAGTAATATCATAATTTATATAATGATTTGGGTGGCTACTAATTTCGTCCCGCGGTAAACATTTTTTCCGAATTGCGGCCCGAGTTTTTTTGGGATGCATACGAATGCGGCTCGAGTATTTTTGAGTTATATACATATGAATTGCGTCCCGGAATTTAATATTAAATTAGGTAACTATATGTATGTAATTATACTTTATTATGTTATAATATGCATGCTAAATGATTTTCATTCAAATATGCAAAAATATGCAAACAAAAATGCATGTTAATTAAATTTATTTAGTTTAAAAATGACAAATATATAATATATAATTCTTTAGATGAGTAATATGGACAGATTTCACAGTCTGGGTTTCAAGTTGACATTATATTGTGATTGACAAAATGATTAATTATTGAAATAAACCAATTTCTTCGATTATTAATTTTAATCGTGCGTTGAATTTTTACATGATATAATATGTTAGTTATAGTTCTATAATTCTATCCAAAATCGTCGTGACTATACAATTATTTCTTTCTAGGATGCGTCTATCCGCGCATTTTGACCTCAAAGAATAATACAATATTATTATCAAGACAAAACAACTTGTCTGGTAAAAGTAAATAGTTTTTGATGAATCTTGTTTCCGGTATTCCGTTTTGTTAGGTGCATGTACAACACTATACAAGTTATACAGTTGTGCTGATGCGCGCCAATAGTTTATGTTTTAATCAATGAAAAATTGACCATGAATTATCGCGTGTTGACTATTTAGTTTTTATCCCCTCCYCCAAATAGTTCTTAAGAATATTTTCTTACTGCATATATATATATATATATATATAAAATTACATTGTCAATAATGAATGCTTTATAGTATAATATATAGTTTTGTTTTACTACGCATATATTATATTATTATTATAACTGTAATCCGAATGATTCACTGACAAAGAATTATTGTACATATTATTATTATTTAATATTTTATATATATTTTTTTTTTTTTTAAATGTTGTATTTCGTTCAACACGCTTTGATATTCATTAGTAGTTTGTGTTAATCGAAATCGTTCCAACAGGATTTTACGTCTCAAATATTAACATATAAAAACAAAATAATAATAATAAAAATAATAATCAGCTCCTTTTATTTAATAACGCTGGGCAAGCAAATTTTTTCTATTCACCGAAATACGTTTCAATTGTTAAGGTTTTTGACGTCTACCGTTGTAATATTATATATTATACTAGTTGCTTATATGTCTATGTCCTAAATGTTACGGTTTTTGCCCCCTTATTGTTATGATTTTTTTTTTCAAATACATAACACGTAATAACTGTGACCACCGACCTACAATAGCGATTTCCTAATTATTCGAGATATCGKGTCGTATAAAATATTCCTGCGACGGAAATAAAAAACTATCCGAACAGATAACCAAACTATATCGTACAATATTGTTCAAGTATTACAGTGAAGTCTCGACAACTCGAATATCAATAAAAATACATAACTCGACTTGTGTGTTTTTCGAGTCATGTGTCTCAAACACAACATAAAAAGACGTCAAAGGGTAAGAAAAAAATCGTATATCGAGTTTTTCGAGCTATCGAGACTAGATTTTAGAGACTTGCTAGCTATAGCGGCCTACACCGACCTATACMATTCGAAATAATATAATGATAATGTAATATATTTACCGAAAATGTCGACTCGTGATGATGCGTAGACTCCACAACTGTTGCCGTCCAACAACTGCCTATTTTCTCCTGACCTGCGTTCTTATTTAAAGTGCGATATTTCAGCGGGCGACAACATATACTCTTGTTATGAAAGAAAAAAAAATGTATAAAAGTGTGTAATTGAATTAATAAAAATTATATTATTTTCAAATATAATAAGATATGGTGTGCATCATAGGGGTACCCACGAGTGAACAACCTTGTCGTACCTCGATGTATCTAATTAAGTGGGTAGTATGATGGAAAACATCGATGTAAGTTGTATCTGTGCACTTCAGCTGCATATAATAATGTACATTATTATTAAAATGACAATATAAAAATTATTTGGACAAAAAAAAAAAAAAAACGACACAACTCCATTTGATTTTTTTAGTTAATTTTTATTCTAGTTTATTGTTATTAGGTAGGTACTATAGGTATACGCGTAACTTGCAGCTGACGTATAGCGAAAACATGTATGTAATGTGTATCATGTATCTGAGTATAGGATATGTTATTTACGTATGATATTCATAAGATGCATATTGCATAAGCACACGCCCAACTTTGAACTCAAAATATCACTTGTACTCATAATAATCGGTATAATTAATTTTGTATAAACATTACTAATGTTAAAGTAAACCGTCTATAGTTTGTTCTGTATTTGCATGTGAAAAGTCATGTGACACGAGAGGACAACTTTAATCTAAAGAAATATATAGCGGACTGACAGTCAAACTCAAACAGGTTGCCTATAGTGACGCAGTATATTTATCACTTTGTCAGATATTTTGTAATTGATTATAATATGTAGGTAGTTGAAAGAAAAATGTATAAAGACAGATCTTGAGACWTGWAGTATTAGGGCACAAAAGRGATCTACAAATTTATGTTTTATCCATACAAATATTTAGGGATGATAAAATATATTTTTTAATTGTATCCAAAAATTTTACACTGTCTTATATTTCTACTCCAAAATGTTCATAAACAAAAACCACATACTTCATAGACTCATTGACCACTGTATACCAAAATAGCAGAAACTATTTTTAACCTATATCAACCAGATGTATTTGRAATGTTAAAAACTTCTACAAAGTTACAAAAACGTTTRGTAGAAGCAAGCAATTTTCATACATTAACCAACTAAAACCAAGCTAACCTAAAAGAAAAAAATGAATTTTGTTTACAAACAATGTGACATTGCTTTGTTGTATGTAAAAAAAAGCG